AAAAATATCAAAAGAGCATGGAAAAAGAGGAGGTATGTATATTACATGTGCAGGATAGATTAAATCGAGAACACAAAATAGAGATTAAAGGGGAGTATAGACAAGGGGGTAAGAGGAGGCGAAAAGAGACAGGGAGAGAGAGAGAGAGAGAGAGAGAGAGAGAGAGACAGGCAGACAGAGACGGAGAAGATTGAATGGAAGGGGAGAAAGAGGGAAAGAATGAGAGGGTGAAAGATAGTAAACGGATAGAGAGAGAGAGAGAGAGAGAGAATTAAAGAGGATTGAGAAAAATGGTCTTATTGAGAAAGACCGAGGGATGGTAGAGAGAGGGAGAGAGAAGTGAGTGAGAGGGAAAGAGGGGGGGGGGGGGCGATGGGAGATACAGAGAGCGAGAGAGAGCTCTATTTTTGCCAGTAATTATGCTTTTCTGATGATTGTAATTTTCTATGGCTTCACAGAAATAACATATACATGTAGGCTACCCTTTCACATAAGAAAAAACGTTTGTGTAAAGATTCATGTATGATTGTAGGGGGCATAAATTTGGGATTGTGTACAAATATTAAAAAACTAGTTGCCAAAATATTCAATTCTTTGCTGTTCAATATGTTTAGGCCATTAGGCACTATGTTTATTGCTTAAGCCCCTTTCACACCGGATCTGCGTAGTGTGGCGTACTGACTATGCCGAAATTAAGCTGCGTATTCATGACAAAAATGTTGCTTCGGCGTAATCCTGCGTAGGTCAAGCGTAAGCTTGCGTAGGCTGGCGTACGATGGCATATGGTTACGTACCTTGTGCTTAGGCACTGCGTTCCTACGATTGCGTGTGACAGGTGAAGGGTTGCGAAAATTTACGTAGGCCTAGCGTACAGGTTTGCTTACAGTTGCTTACTGTGTGCGCAAGCTTTTACTGCTTCATCGTACTGGCTTATGGTAGCGTACTATTGCGTAGGCTTGGCGTACTGTAGCGTAGTGTTGCGTTGACTTGTGTACAAAATGCGACTTTACTGCATCTAGTGTCTACGCCGAAAGTACGGCAAAAATATTAAACATGTTTAATTTTTTGTGTCCATCTCGCGTACCCCTTTGCGTCCCTCAGCGTATCGTTACGTAGGCCAGCGTGTCGGGCAGCGTACGCTCGGAGTAGTGGGTACGCAACACTATGCAACTCTACACATGGCCCGGTGTGACAAGGGCTTCACTTGTATAAAATTCACAACAGCACAGTCTTTTTAACAGGCTATCATGATAAGACCTAAGCAATATTATGTTAGTATCGATAAAAGTAGAAGATGAGAGAAAATTTTCTCGAGGGGAATTTCTGATATTTTTTTTTAGTACAGGGCAAATGGGAGGGGAGCCCCCAAGCACAGTCTCAGAGTTGCCAATTTGCGTTTGATTGATTGCACCTAAAAAGATCCATAACTTCTTATTTTAATCGGTTTTCACTGACCTTTTTCTCCAATTTTTCTGCTTCTATTTTTAATTTAATTTAATTTAAAGGTGGTCTTACCCTTTAAATTGACTGTTCAGAGCCAGAAGGGTGTGAACTCTATATTCAGTAAATGAGTAATAATGCCCTTCTGGTTCCAAACAGATGACATAGTGTTGCTTTGGGTGGCGTCGATCTGGCGCTGCTCAGTGGTTGCCGGGCTCACGATCAATTGGGCAAAAAGAATTTCCATTTTTGGTTTAACTTAATAAAATTTGAAGTGGACTTTAAAAGATTATTATTATTATTATTATTATAATAAGCAGAGTTCTAATTATTAAAAAAGGCACCTAATCGTTCGTAATGACTTATCAAAATATCTAACTACAAGGTGACATAAACATCAAAAAATTTGAATGTAGGACTTAAACAATTTTTTTAAACTTAAAATTTGGCTCAAGGTTTATATGCTATAAAATCACAAATAGGGTAACATCTATTTTTAGTATGCATAATTTCTTTCTTCATACAGTACTCTCTTGTGAATTTTTTTGCTTTTTCTTTTTACTTGGTGATTCTGATTTATCAGGGTGAATTTAACAATGTCTGTGATTCATGAGCTGTGGTTTATATCCTTGTCAGATTGAAGCCAATGGGGTATGTCACAAGAATGGAATTTGGCATTGTAGGGTTACAAGAAATTGACATATTAAATATTTGCTTTCTAATAAACTTCCTTTTAGCGGACGGTTAAGTTTTGAAGTTCTGGCCTGAGGAGGGGGGGGGGGGGGGGGGGGGAGTGTAATATTATGGCATATATCTAAAAATAGTTAATCAGGCAAATTTGTTTTGCCCATTTATAATACGTTTCACAACCTTTAATAAACCTTCTTAAACTGTCACTGTGAATATTCCTGCCATCTCTATCTCCCCTTGTATGTCTTATTTTTTTTTTTTTGGGGGGGGGGGACATTTTTTTCTCCATAAAGAATATACAGTCATTCTTCAATTGTTGATGTCATTTCTAAGTATACTTGTCTTATCAGCTTCAAGTAGGGTCTTTCTTACTTTGAAATTACCAGAATAGTTGCCTATATAAATGAAAATTGACTACTTTACTTAATTGATGTTGTATTTAGTATAATCAGAATACCAAGTTACTTTACTAAGATAGCTTACGGAAATCCTGCATTGTTGTTTGCTTGCTTTGTCGCAAAAGGGATTGCTTCTATCAGTGACCGCGGCACTTATTTAACCTTTACAAACATTACCTGGTAGTTGTTGCGGAAATATTCTTTGCGATGAAAGGCAGAGAATTCCCCCCCATTTTTTTTTCTGTGGGTGAGAGAGTCATAATTGAGTCCAAAGTTTCGGTCTGTTGCCCAACAAGAACGGCTCAATCGGCACAAATCCGTCATGTGTCAGCATAATATAAAAGTTTATCGTCAAAAGTATCACAAATCACTGGTATATACCATTGTTTGATATTTTGAATATTGCCTTCATACCCATTATGAATCACATTAGTGTTTCACTTTGAAAACCCTCTTGCATACTAAGACCCTTATATGTTTTCAAAAATCAATTTCCTTTGTAACACCATCAGCATAATGATTACCGTAAAACAAATTAAGAATATGAGTGTTTTCATTTCACTTTGGAAACCCTCTCGCATAGAATTAATTTTTTTAATGCTACCGCACTCAAATTGTAATTGTAATTTTTTAATGCTACCTGACTCAAATTGTACCAATTCTCTTTTATAATGGAGCATAGTGCTTGTCAGAGTCTTTAGCCTTTGGTGCTAACCAGGCGCGGATCCAGGATTTCTTAGGGGAGGGGGCCCAACTTTTTTTTTTTTTTTGCTCCCGAAAATTTGAAAATCGCGCCGGCCGAAAAGTCGCTCAGTGGGGGGGGGGGGGGGGGGGGGGGGGGGTACAGAGCACAATTTTTTTTTTTTTTTTTTTTTTTTTTTGCTCCCGAAAATTTGAAAAACGCGCCGGCCAAAAATTCGCTCAGTGGGGGGGGGGGGGGGGGGGGGTGAGCTCATTTTTTTTTTTTTGATCCTCAAAAAAATTTCAATTTGCACCCCCCCCTTGAGCGCCAGGGGGGGGGGCCCAACCCCAAAAAAGGTAAAAATCACGTGATTTTACATGATTTTTTTCTCAAGGGGGGGGCCCGGGCCCCCCGGGCCCCCCCCCTGGATCCGCCACTGGTGCTAACAGCTTACAAATATTGTTGCGACACGTGTAGGAACACAATACAGAATCTTTGGTTTTACGCAAGTATAGCCGGTTTTGGACGTTGAGCCCGGACATGGAAATCTGATAAATATGATTAAGTTGTGTGTTTTACACTTCAGACTTCTTGATGTGACATCATAATCTCCCAGAGATTTCCGAATATAGTCTGAAACAGAGATATTGTGACTGGATGTCTGCTAGTAAATATGGATTTTTAACACAGCAAGACCAGGTCACCTGTGTTATTTAGTGGTACAAAACACATCATTTGACATATGTAAACTTTTGACATTGGATAAGCAGATGGATAATGCATTAATGAAGACCTCTTTTGGAACGGTTATAATTCGTAGGATATACTGGCATGCATTGTGTGACTACTTGTAAGCTGTAAAGTGTGATACATTTTTTAGAAGATATGAGTTTTAAGCGGTTGAGTCGCAGTTATCACAGCGGTAAGAAAGACATTATATATGTTGTTGTAGCTGATGAGGGTGGTGATGGTGTTTGCTGCTGCTGTTGTTCACCTCCTCCTCCTCCTTCTTCTACTTCTTCTTCTCCTTCTTCTCTTCTTCTTCTTCTCTTCTTCTTCTTCTTCTTCTTCTTCTTCTCCTTCTTCTTCTTCTCCTTCTCCTTCTCCATCTTCTCCTTCTTCTTCTCCTTCTTCTTCTCCTTCTTCTTCACCTTCTTCTTCTTCTCCTCTCCTTCTCCATCTTCTTCTCCTTCTTCTTCTCCTTCTTCTTCTCCTTCTTCTTCTTCTCCTTCTTCTTCTCCTTCTTCACCTTCTTATTCTTCCTCTTTCTCTTCTTCTCCCCCTTCTTCTTTTTCTTGATGTTGTTGTTGTTGTTTTTCTTCTGATTCTGAATATCTTTCCTTCTCTCCATGGTTCTTACTGTAAGTGGTAGCTGTTCCTGTCAGAGCCAACAGGTGAACTTAATACCTCAGTCATACCAATACTAGGCTGATAATAGACCAAACAGACATATATATTATGGTAGGGTCCATGTTTTTTTTTGTGTGATTGAGGTATAGTTGATTGACAACATTGTTATACTGTGCTCATGAATATAATCTTTTAAATGAATACTGATCAAATAAATATATTTCAATACTGTATCATTGTTCTGCAATGAATCTCTTATATTTTCTTCTCTCTCTCTCACTCTAAAGCAGCAGCATGCAGACCCAGTCAAAGACCATGTACAGTTATTTGATTTTCAATGTTACATTACATACATGAATATTATTTCTGAAAATAAATCTGAATCTCAGAAACGTTAGTGTCATTGTTTTCATGTAAGTATTTTATCTTCTCTTTCTCAGTTCTTAAGCGGCAGCAGGCCCAATCGGAGCCTATCTATGAGGCCGCTACCCTGCAGGGTGCCATCTCTGGATCCGGGCCGGGATCCTTAGACCATCTCCCTCGCACCCAGAGACTCCGAGTCTGCAAGAAGCTGCGTCAAGAGCAGCTCAAGAGGTACTATGAGCAAGAGAGAACAGATCATGAAAAAGGTGAGTACTTGATAATGTTTTCTTCTAGTAATTAATCTTCAAAGGAACTCTTCGGAGAAAGATAAATTAGGTTTAAATGGAATGAGGGCATTATATGCGTCAGGAATAGCCCCTGAAAGTTCTATGGACTGTCAGCTTGCACTGCATGCACTGCATGCACTTGCTAGAGTTCCTTCTGAGTGTGTGACAGAGAGCAAGAATACTTTCACGTGCTTACTCCTCTCAAAGTGTGTGTGTGTGTATGTGTTCATTGCATGAAATATACCATGGCAACAGAAATATGAAGGCTGTAAATGATTTGCCACAAGAGCATGCTCTTGCTTTAACTTCACGGAATACTTGTATTCTGACATCTCACCCTTGAGGAGTGAGGGAACAAGTTATAGGAATTTCCTGTGACTCTGAAATCTGAACTAACTTAAATACATTTTTTAAAAGGTGTGTAAAACATTTCTGAGTCATAAAATACCAAGAATGGCTGAATTGTTCGGGATATTTAAGATGAAAAACAGGGGAATTCAGAGAAAATTGGGATTGTTGTTTGAATATTGTTCTCTGCTCTTACCATTCTCTGTGGTTCAATCATAAGTGTATTTAAAAACATGATATCACACAAAAGAAAAGAAGGTCATCAAACTCATATATTATGCCCCAAGCACTAACTAGATAACAGTGGTAAAATTGATAATTGTTGTTGAGTACTTATTATGTGCCAATGCTGCATAATGCAAGTGCTCACAGTCCAGCAGAGAAATTATGTAATATCCTGAGAATACACAACAACTGAACAAAGAACAACCCAAAGTCAAATCAACAAAAACAACAAACAAACGAAAGAACACACACAAAGAAACAACAATAAATCCCCCCCCAATTTTGAACAAAGGAGCTCTTGAGGAATTCCTAACACAATGTACACCTGAAAAACTGCTTTATCATATATATTTCCAATTTGATCTCTGTACCACTGATGATTCTGAGAATAATTAGCATGGATTGTTATTTTGTTCTTCACAGGTCGGAGACTGTCTGGGAGACGCCAGACACCGAACTCTAAAGGGGCGATGGTGAACTTTGACATCGCCAACAAACTGAGGGATGCCGTTGCTAGGTTTGACGATAAAGAAGGTTAGTGGATGCCAAGATGACTTCTGTAGTGAGGTTGATGTTGTTTGATGCTGAGCGAATGGGAGTGATGTTCTTAGTGGTTGAGAAGGTGGTGACGGTAGTGGCAGTTGTGGTGGCGGCAATGATGATGATGTGGTGGTGGTAGGGGTGATGTTGGTGGTGGTGGCGGTGATATTGGTGGTGGTGATATTGGTGGTGGTGGTGATGGTAGTGATGATGGTGGTATAGTGGTGAATTATGGTGGTAGTCGTGGTGGTTAAAGTTGTTGTGATAGTAATGGTTGTTATGGTAGTTGCAATGATGGTAGTGGTGGTTGACAAAGAGAAAGAGAGAGAGAGAGAGAGAGAGAGAGAGAGAGGGGCGGTATCACTTCAGTGATGTTCCCAGGAAGAAACCCTTGCCAGTCATACTTCTTAGAGGGTCTGAGCTGTAAGAACATGTAGACTACAAGACAAGGTTCCAGACATGTAGCCGCACAGTTCACACAGCTAGACACTGACAACATTAGGCTAAGCTCAAGGCTTTATGAAAATTCATTTTCTTCACTTCCTGCCGGGGCTCGCCACAGCAATTTCGCCGGAGAACGAAAGGGAAAGCATGGAAATCTGTGGTTTCACTTTAGATCAAGAAATTCTTGCGGTATTTTCAACAGTGTGACACCCGATTGAAGCACTTTGAAAGAGGCATATGTCTCAAAAGGGAACGCTGAAATATCAGTAACCACAGCATGTCTTTTCAAACATTACCAGGTAGTTGATGAGGAAATGTTCTTTGCGATGAAAGGCAGAGAATTCCCCCCATTTTTTTTTCTGTGGATGAGAGAGTCATAATCAGATATAAAGTTTCGGTCTATTGCCCAACAAGAATGGATCAATCACAAATCCGTCTTGTGGCAACATTATAAAAAAAAAAAAAATTATCATCCAAAATATCACAAATCACTGATAACCCATTGTTTTGATTGTTTGAGAAATTCCTTTATACGCATTATGAACCACAATAGCGCTTTACTCTGAAAAACCCTCTCTCCCATCAATTTTTTTTTGCTACCGGAGTCGAGATTTACCAACTTTCTTTTTAAAAATCTTTATAAACATGGTTCCGACACTGGAAAGGAACACTTTACAGAATCTTTGGATTTACACCAGTAGCCGGTTTAGGACGCTGTGCCCAGACATAGAAATCTGATATCATACACTGTAAATGTGATTTGTGATTAACTTGTGTGTTATACACCTCAGACTGGTCTACATAAACTGTACTCCATATATTTTTCTTATCAAGACAAGAAAGAGGGTGTCTCGATGTGATGTCATTAAACTCCCAGAGATTTCTGAATACAGTCTGAAACAGAGATATTGTGAATGGATGTTTGCTACGAAATATGGATTTTTAAAACAGCAAGACCAGGCCACCTTAATTATTTAGTGCTACAAAACTTCTTCACATCATTCGACATATTCAAACTTTGAACATTGGATTAGCAGATGGATAATTCATGAATGTAGACCTTTTTTGGAACGTTTATTCTTTGGTGGGATAAAATGGCATGGATTTTGAAGCAGTTGCGTCGCCTTTATCACGGGGGTAAGAAAGACATTCTATTGCTGTTTTAGTTGTTAGTGTTGTTGCTGGTGGTGTTTGTTTACCTCTTCCTCCTCCTTCTCCTCCTTCTCCTTCTTCTCCTTCTTCTCCTTCTTCTCATTCTTCTTCTTATTCTGCTTCTTCTTCTTCTTCCTTATCTACTCTCTCTTCTACTACTTCTTCTTCTTTATCTTCTTCTATTTCTTCTTTATCTTCTTCTTCGTCTTCTTTTTCTTCTTTGTGAGAGAGAGAGAGAGAGAGAGAGAGAGAGAGAGAGAGAGGGGGGGGGGGATATCACTTCATTGATGTTTGCAGGTAGAAACCCTTGCCAGTCATAATTCTTAAAGGGTCTGAACTGTAAAAACAAGTAGACTGCACGCCAAGGTTCTAGACATGTAGCTGCACAGTTCACACAGCCAGACACTGACAATATTAGGCTAAGCTCAAGGCTTTATGGAAATTTACATGTGTGTGTGAATACAGAGTCTGAACATGTAGACTACAAGTACGTATAACAAAGAGGTTGGGCCCGAGGATGACTAGAAAATGTCACAACGAACTCTGTTCTTCTCATCTGCAGCTTGATGTACTGCAAGAAATACACTTTTTCACTCATCTCTTGTCCTCTCACTGTTTCCATAGCAACCGTACTTGCGCAAAGATTAAAGATATCTTGACCGTGGCTACAAGTAGACAATTATCATTGAGCTATTTCTTTTTCATTACTGCCTCTGTCTCTCCTCCCTCTTTCTCTTTCCCTCTCTCTCTCTCTCTCTCTCTCTGTCTGTCTGTCTGTCTGTCTCTCTTTCTCTCTCTCTTTCTCTCTCTCTCTGTCTCTCTCTCTCTCTGTCTCTTCCAGTCTATTGATTTTATCTTCTATCTTCTTTCTTGTTTCCAGTTTAAAATACACAGGACCAGAGCGCAATTTATGTAGTTCTAGGAAGCTCTAAAAGAGCGCTAAATAGATTGAAAAAGAGAGTTCTGATTTTGTATAATATATCTTAATTTATCTTCAATGTTGATGTAATAATCGTTTTAACATTGCTATGTGTTTCATGTGCTTTTATTGTAAACATAATGAATTCAGATCTCTGGCTGCTATTTTCAGTATTTTTAAAGAAAAAGTCTTCATGCACCAGACACAGTCAAAGTCATATCAAAATACTTATTCCACCTAGAAGCAAGGCTATCCTTTCATTTACTAAATGTTGTAATCGTGCTAATCCTCACTCCTCCCTTTGCCCCCTCCCCCACGATGACGCTATCCTCACATCATATACTTAGTGACAGTTAACTCCTGACAGAAGAAATATGATGTTAGGAGAAAAGTGATTAGTATGTGCCATGTTTGAGTGAATCACTCACAGGATTTGTTAAGGAGCTATTAACGAGAGGAAATTAGCTATCTATTAAAGGAAAAATCCACTGACAGCGTCTTGCCATAATTGATCTGTCTAGGGCACTCTGTGGATACTCAATCACGTAGATTGATGACAATTACTTTTTATACTTTAAGTGCTTTAGGTGGTTTATACCACCTAACTTTTTTTTCTTTTCTTTTCATCTCTCTTTTTGATTTGCTTTTTGCAAAGAATTCTTCTTGACACTCAAATTAGATGTATGAATACTTCTTATTTTATTGATGTATAATGGAACATAATTTAAATAAAAATATCGTCTATTCAAAGCCTAAAAGATGTAAATTCACACACTTCAATATCTAGTGTTGAAACCCTTCTGGCCTAAACAGACAAATTATATGATAAAAAAAGACTTATCAAAAATAAGAAAAACTTGTTTCATGAAACTTTGAGTGATACATGTTTGTAGTTACGTGGCTCTGTTAGGAATAAAGATATTGTGATTGATAAATAAGATCTGATGGAATAAAGGAAATATCTATGCATTCATTCTTTGTCTGTCATTCACTGTGAAAATAGTGAAATAATGTCATTTTCGAGGTTTTCCTCTATCTTTAAGATGTAAATAAATGAAATAATATCATCTCTGGATGTTCTCCTCTGTCTTTAAGACGTTAATAAGTGAAATAATGTCATTTCTGGATGTTTTTCCTGACCCCCAAATCATCACTCTTCATCTGCTCGTTCATGTTTCATTAATGACTAGTCCCTACACCACCCCTCGCAAGGCATCAGGAAAGAGCCGTTTCCCCCGATGGCTACACCAATTTTCTTCCTTTCCTCTCGAGAAAGCAAGCGAAGAAAGCCCAAGCATTCGGAACATGCCTCCTACTGGGGCATTGGAACTTGCTCCATGCAGCGAGGATTACCTAAAAATAGTGTTTCTGTTATAATATCGCTAATTATCATATAGTAAAGTCTATCTGGCTCCCCCACCTGGTCTTCGTCTTTCTTAGGAGTGGTCGTGCAGCTTGGTGCATCACCGAATGGAAGTTTGTTTGTGTGTGTGTTTGATCCGCGGACTTGTCACCTTTCCTGCAAAGTGATCCCAGCCGTTTTGGATTTTTATCTCGAGCATTGACCCTACATGATTGGATACAGAGTAAATATTGGAATCCTGTGCTAGGAATGGATCACGTTTAAAATTCATGATTGATGACTCAATCTTCTGTGGATATATTGGAATTACTTGTATTATTATGTGTATTGTTGATTTGACAGGTAGTGTTTGCCTGGGGATTTTTTTCTGCCGGAATGGAACAAAGCACATTTGAAAATGGATTCTTTAAAAACAGCTTTTGTTGATCTTTTAATTACATTTGAATCTTCAATCAGTAATTGTATTCATGAGGTTTTTTTGGTTTCCTAAGGTTTGTAAAAGTGATGGATTATATTTGGATTGCTTATAGAAGATATATCTGTAGAACAATTTAATAGTATAATGAAATATTAATTGCTTGTATACTGAAAATGAAAAAAGAAGATATGGATTTATAATGCACTAGAAAGTGTATATTTTAGCATCTCTTGAGGAGAATCTCAATTTAAGGAATAATTAATACTGTATGCCATTCTTCTAAAACCTGAAAAACAAAGTTCCTCAATTCAAAAGTTTTGAGAAGAATGTCTACATCTTTTTCTGTTTATGTTATCTTTAATCTTCTGGCATGGTTCATATAAATTGTTAAATTGTTCATGATGTAACAAATTGAAATTATTTCCAGAGAGGTGCCAAACACTGATTTTTCTTTCTGAAGTTTTAATATGAAAAAAGAAGAAGTATAAGTGAACTATGCAGTCATACATTGGGGGGGGGGGGGGAGGAAGGAGATGTTGGATGATTTTTTAGTAGAAAGATGAAATAGCTTTCATTTTATTATGTGGAGGAATGCATGGGGCATTCAGAGTCTATATGCTTGCTTAAGTTTTCCATTTAATACATAATTCAACAAATGGATCAGTTTGTGGATCTATTAATTATTCTGCTTTCTTGCA